GTGGCTCAGGCTGATTACATTTATGTAACAGATATGCTGAGTGATACAGGAAACCATCCTTTCCCTAGATAATGCCTTATAATATAAGAGGAAATTTTGATAGCTCATACTTGAAATTAATAAACAAAGAAAAAAAATGTCTACATACTGAATAGTTAATACAATGGATTACCCATAATGCTAGTAACTATTCCCCAAAACATATTCCAAACACTAGATAAAAAATACATATCCAGTAACTAGGATAGCAACCACACCTCCACTGCATCTTTCAAAACAGGTCTTTCTCAAAAGTGTATTGGCCATGGTTTACCCTAATCTACTTCAAACTTCTGATCTGTGACAGAAGGCCTACCACTCTAAAAAAAGGAAAAGAAAAGAAAAGAAAAAAAAAAGGATAACAATAATGACCAGAGATTAAAAATGAACAGTGAAAATACAGAAAAAGAAACCACGCTTACAAAAATACACCTACAACTCTTTAACTTGTTACATAATTTTCATGCCTCTCTCCTCCTTCAATGTGATTTTGGCAAATGTCTAGGAGGCAACTTTGACTTTCTATATAGGACTTTTTTCGTTTTTTTTTTTTTTCTGCCTAAAATCTAAAACCAAGCCAACAATGGTATACTGTCAAGAAATCCCAGCATTCTCTACATTTCACAATTGTCAGGGCATTGTATAAGCTTAGAAAATACATATTGGAGTTTTGTTGCCTGATTGCCATGCACTGATTGGCATGGTGCAGCAACACATTTTATAATGCTACATGATAATATATATGATTGTCCTTATGCCCAGAATCAACAGGAATATAAGTTTAAAAAGTAAATAAATCAGGAAATCCAGCACTTGCTACAATTGTGTCAGTGACTGCCAACCACCTGCCGACCTGCAAAGCTAGGTTAGGCTCCAAGAAAAAACAGGGAGGTCTATAAATTCTCTCTCGTGACGGAGGTTTGATAGCTAGAATGCTAAGCGGCAATCAGGAGGACGCGAATGGCTGATGCATAGTTATTATCTAAAGGTTTCAGATATGATTTTTTTCTGATCATTCGGCATTCAAAGCAAAACTGAATTAACGGCTATAAAAGACCATCTATAATGACAGTAATAATAATAAAAAATCAATGAACATAGAGCAACAGAATACCTATAATTGTCAATCATATTCTGCAGGCCTATCCACAGAGTAATCCCGAAGCTATGCCCTCCAGCAACGGTAAGAATTAAAAAGGCCAATGCTACGAGTTTATATACAAGCTTTGCTCAATTCCTTTCCGTAGAAAAGAAAAGAAAAGAAACTTAGCTCCTGAAACTATTCACAATCTTTGAGTAATAGGTAAGCATGTCCTAAGGATTCACTTGTAGTCTTAATCCATAGACAAAAAAAAGAATGAGCAATAAGCAAAATGAAAATGAGAATCACCAATGAAAATGAAATGAAAATGAATAAAAATGAAAATGAAAATGAAAATCACCAATGAGCAAAATGAAAATGAGAATCACCAATGAAAATGAATGAAAATGAAAATGAATAAAATGAAATGAATGAAATGAAAATGAATGAAATGAAAATGAAAATGAAAATTACCAATGAGCAAAATGAAAACCAATGATAGATAGATAAAGCAAGTTGCATTATCTATCACAAATATTGCACTGATCAATAGATGTGAAAGAGATGCTGCAGTTCATCACCAAAGAGGAAAGGTGACCACAATTTGCATTAAATAACGAAAACAACAACAAACACCGTGATAATATTTGCCAATCGCGTATAGGCCTATGTTTTTTTTTTGTTTTTGTTTTTTTGTTTTTTTTTCAAGAATACGTGTTTTAAGAAACTCTCACAAATCGATTCCCATATATATATCGTAGGCTTATGGAGAGAGAGAAAGAGGAAGAAAAAAAAGCACAAACACCAACACCAAAACCAAGAAACAAGAAACAAACAAAAAGAGAAGGAAAAAAAAGGAAAAAAAACCCTCATCCTTCTAAGCTCCACACATTCCACCGCTAAATATCCACTCCACAAGGCCTTCCACCCGCCGAAAGCACCACCCCACTTCAATCCTTCCTATTCCACATCCTCCACGCACCAATCCACTCCAGGGCGAAGGAGGAGACACGTTTTTTTTCTTCTTTTCTTCTCCTTCTTCACTCAACCTCCATTTGTTTGCCTTCTTCCTCGGGACATTATTGGAACCTTGTCTTTCTCGGAGGGGTTTGGTCCCTATTTCTCTGGGGGGAGTTTTGTTTTCGTGATGGGTGGGGTTGGTTTATAATTCGGAGGGTTTTTTGGGGGTTAATGTGTGGGTTTTTTGGTGGAAATATTTTTATTTGGGGGGTTATAATGTTCGGTCGTTAAATATTGGTAGTATGGTGGTGTTCTCTTAAAAGAGGGAACCATTAATCTATTTTTTTGGTTCTTTGGAATTTTTCGTTTCTTTATATTGTCGCTTGTGAAATGCATTATCTTTTAATT